GCCCCCAATATGCCCCCCAGCATGCCCCCAGCCCCTAAGAAAAGTTTTAAAAACTGAAGTAGCTAAGAAGTCTTTTCCTTCATTCTGTGTCAAAATGTAATGCTTTAAAAGTAACCATAAAGTAATCATTAAACCCACTGATCGGCGAGATGCTGGCTCTGCATAAGAATGCTGAAAAGCATTTGAAGCAAGTGCAAAGTGTACAATTAGGAGTAAATTATATCCAAAGAGATACTTAATCATATATGTACTTGACTAAAACAGCAAGGAAGCTTCAATGCGTGAGAAATAATAGTTTCAGGTGAGAGCGCAAGACTGACTTCGTTTGTGTGAGCCGGCCTCATGCTCAATGCGTGAGACTTGAGAGAACTGTGTCGGTTTTTTTGTTGTTGTAATAACTGAACAAAGGTATTACGATGTGTTATTCGTGTAGCTTCGTTTCAATCGAACAAGGTCAAATTTCGCGACACAACTCCTCTGAGATGAAATTCCGACAAGCAACATTAAGGAATCTTGCAAAATGCCAACATGGCTGGTGGCGAATTTCAGACAGGGGACATGGGTATCCCCCCTGACAGGTCCTCATTGGAAGGTCTTAGAAAATAATGCAACTGTCATTTGCTCATGTGCAGATCGAGTTTTCGGAAGTCTTTATTTTCGCTGTCCACATTAATACCATTTTCAAAGTGTACATGCCTTGTTGATTTAAACAATGAACATTTCTCTGTGAAGCTCGGGAAATTTGTAAACTAGAAAACCAAAATGGTTTTTGGAATCACTTGGCATTTCTAAACAAACATAGAATATTTAAGAGGTTTGAAATAAAGACTTTCCTTCAAAAGTGTCTGAAAATCTCAGGCTGCCTGGCCGAGGTGACTTAAAATACAAAAATACACATTAACAAGCTATTACCTGTGTCAAATCTCCTTCCTACTATAGCCGGCGCAGGTTGGTTTTCGATGAAGTTCAGCACTCCTCCAAACTTGCCATCTCTGTCAAGAATAATTGATCCTAAAGGCTTTCCGTCTGAGTTCCGAAAATCGTCTTCTCCGAGGAAACGTTTGCTCTCTTCATTTCGTAAGAAATAACTCGGACATTGCGACTCGTCGTGGGCGAGAACACCGTCGCGCTGAAGAAGGTCGTAGACTTTAGCTGACAAGTTCTGAGCAACGTCCTTATCTTTTTTGTCGATTGTTCTTTCACTACATAAGACCACGCATTGCAGCTGATCAGAAGCCATCAGGGAAGACACAGTTCCCTCCAAGGCTCTGCTTAATAGGCTACTTTTCCAAAAGAGACCTTGTTCCAACTTAGGCACAGCCAAGTAAGTGATCCCATCCAACTCGAAGACATCCTCTTCCAGATTACTGTATAACTCGTTCAACGGTTTCCGTTCAAGCCTTCCCCAGATTTTCAGCCCCGGAAATTCGGCCACCATTCTAACAGAAGGCTCGCGTTTCTTGGTACTTTTCTCTTTTGTTTCTTGCTTTTCAAGGGTTTCAAGAATATCTTTTCGCAGCACCTGATTACTAGCTACCAAGAAGTACTTTGATTTCGGTGTTCCTACGGAATGAAGAAATTCTATACTTTCAAACTTTACCAGACAACCAGGGCCGAAGTATCTGACCGTTTCATGCCCACTTGTTTCTTCCACAAGGCGACAGATCGCGAGCTTGGCTGCTTTAGTGCTGCTAACTGCAGCCGCAGCCATTTTGCGGAAAGGCGAGAAGATCACGATTACACAGATTGTTTACTTTTCTGGGAACGTTCTTCCGGGAAATTCCCGCCATTCTATTTTTAGAAAGAACAAGGTGACGTCATCAGCGCATTTTGAATTTCAAATCGCGTTTGTCGAAAAATATGTTTGTTTGTCCAGTGCGTCGTCCAGTGCAGTTAATCAGTGTCCTAGATAGCCAAAATAAGTTCCAGATGTTAACACTATTTTCCGGCCGCCATATTGGTGTACCACAGAGGAACACCAACATGGTGGCTCCATACTTTATAGGCTCTGTAAATTTGTGCGGAACATTTAACAAATTGACGTCAGTTTTTTATGCGTCTGTCCTCTTATTGATGATAAATTGCGGCATAACATTGCCAAAGTGGCTGTGGAACCACGAGCCGCAAGCGAGTGGTTCCGCAGTAAACTTTGACGATGTTATGACGAAATTTATCATCAATAAGAGGACAGACGCATNCTTTACCAGACAACCAGGGCCGAAGTATCTGACCGTTTCATGCCCACTTGTTTCTTCCACAAGGCGACAGATCGCGAGCTTGGCTGCTTTAGTGCTGCTAACTGCAGCCGCAGCCATTTTACTAAGACGCAACGAAAAGAAGATCCCGATTGGGAGGGTTTGCCTCGTTAGTGACTTCCGGGAAATTCCCGCCATTCTATTTTTAGGAAGAACTACGTGACGTCATCAGCGCATTTTGAATTTCAGAGTTAAGGCGGTGCGTGACATAAAGCTACGATCGCGTTTGTCGAAAAATATGTTTGTTTGTCCAGTGCAGTTAATCAGTGTCCTAGATAGCTAAAAGAGGTTCCAGATGTTAACACTATTTTCCGGCCGCCATATTGGTGTACCCCAGAGGAACACCAACATGGCGGCTCCATACTTTATAGGCTCTGTAAACTTGTGCGGAACATTAACATTTCGACGGATATCTCAACTTTAGAACAACGCACACACCTTAAACATGGAGAACTGTCTCCTTTATTTATCTTTTATAATATCACAATTTCTTGACTTTATCCACTGAATGGTTTTTGATTTTATATTTTATTGCGTGACAGTGAACGCTCTACTTCCAAAAGGGTACCAGGTACGTAGCAGTCCCGGCAGCAGTCCCGTTTATCGTTCGTCAATAACACTTGCACCTTCCAAACACGTTAGGTCAACAAAGAACTTCACGTTTTCTGTAACTTCCCGGACATACCTTTAAAACATCTCACACAAACCCATTTCCAACCCTTACTTTCTTTAAGTCTTCCTTCGCGCCAAATATCAAAATGGCGGAAGGCAACAAGGGTTGTCACTTTGTTGCGCTCTCGTTTCACAGGTCGAAATGCCAGGTCAAAAGGATTTGGTCTCACAAATGAAAAGGTGCACGAGGTGCACGTCAGAAATTTTGAAAAGAACCCCTATAAAGAGGTACCAAGATCCTGTTTTGTGGGTGCGGCTTGAAATGTTTTTCACCCCTAGGTCCAGTAAGAGGTACCAGTTCTAAGACAACAAATTATTTCCTGTCATATTTTTTCGGCTCAATACCCTGAAAGGTACCGCACAAGCTCCCGCTGTTGATTTTTTGAGGCTGAACACCCTAAGAGGTACGAAAACCGCGTTTTAAACACCTAAGGCTACGACAAGCACCACTGTCCTTTTCGCATGGGAGTCCCCCTAGGGGGTCATGCTCCCCCACTGTCGCAGTGCAATCTAATTTCTAACACAATCATCTCGCACCAATCGTGTGAGCTCTTTCCCGAGGGTCTCAATGGGGTTTAACCGTTAGCCGTAAAAGGGCCAAAACTTTTACCGTTATCCGTAAAAAAGCTGAAAATTTAACCATTAGCCGTAAAACAAATTAAAAACCGTCAACCGTAAAAAAAGAAATATATATTAACGCAAATTAAACGTCTAAATTGTCTTGTAAGGAACTCCATTTGTCATTTCACAACGCAGGAATTTGAAATGGATAGTATGACGCACTTTGAGAGCAGCCTTGACGTTTTGACAGCTCTCGCTATTTTCCGACCCAGTTGTACAGTTTCTCTTTATGAGTGGCGGCTTTGCTCTCCATGGCTAGCTATGGCTCCTGGGGAGGGTACTCCAAAAACAATAGGGTGGGGGTGTGCAGCCCGCTTCCCAAAACCCTTACCCTACTTAAGACCAAAATCTGCGATTTTCCTTACCCTATTTATGACCTGACCAAAAATTTGATATCCTATTTATGACCATTGCACGATTGTGGCTGGCACAGTTGTCCTAAATATAGTTTATGGAGGGCTTTTGTTGATGGTCTTATTCATAATGACGAAATTAAAAATAGCTTCTTCTAAAAAAACATACCCAATTGAAGACTAGAGTTCAAAAACCATACGCTCCTTATGACCAAAATGTTGAAAATTGATACCCTATTTATGACCAAAACGGCTGAAAAACCGTACCATTTGGGGCCGCACATACCTATATGGCCTATAAAAGGGAGTACCCCCTCCCCCTCGGGCTATGGCTTTTGTGAAGGCAGTTGTTAGTATCTATTACACTGGACAGGAGAAGCCCATAGAAAGATGCAAAACAAGGATTCAAATCGGTGAAGCTCATAAATAGTCCAAGTACGGTATATTGTTTCTTTCAAAAGTATTTTGATTGACTTTCTTGGCCTGAATGACCATACCATTCCAAAGGTAAATGGCAAAGCGGAAAATTATCCATATCAACTCAACAACAACTGGAGCTGGAATTGCTCTTCTTGCTTGGCTCGGATAGGGAAAGCGAGCTATACGGTAAGTAGTCTTAAAAGCTTTCCGTACGTCTTCCGTCGCCATTAGGGAGTTTAAGCAGCCGCGGCGACGACGCGAGGACAACGTCGATTGAAAAATGAATTTACATGTGCAGAGCCATTCCGTTTGTTTGCCTGTCGAAGACATCTAAAACCTAAACGTATTACGCAGCGTTGAATAAACATTTTTAGCTGGGTTGGTTTGTTATCCCATTTCAGAACTTTGTTTTGATACTCTTGCTTTCAAATTTCAGAAGCGTAGCAGCTCTCGTAAGCTTGTAGCAGCTGTTATTTTTGGGGGCCAGGGACATTTTTTCAGTTGTTCGGAGTCTGTTGTTCTATCAAAGGGTATCAAGACGTTCATATGAGACCATGCAAGAGCTGCTACCCAACCCTCAAAGTTTAAATAGAGGCGTGTATATGCGGAATGAATTATTTTTGGATGGATAAAAGAACAGTTCTCTAGAGGATATCACGTGGTCTGTAATGGGAAAACAAACCGCCCAAGCCAAAACGGTCTGATCGAAAAATAATCAATAATTTTGATCATCCGTCAAACGCTGTAGGTTGGTAGTCGAAAGCTTATTTTAACTTAAATTTTTCAGCCAGAGAACATTTTAATTATCTTAATATGTTTAGCCCTGGTTGCTCGTCTATTTTCAAATTTCAGTTAAATATTGACCATTGCAGAGAGCAAAAAAGAAATGTACAAACATTTCTAGATAATACACGAGCATAGCCACTGTTCTACGCAGATCAGTGTGCCCGATGTTCTGCATCGAATCGGCGAAATAGTGCGGGAGTGGACAGGCAGAGTTTGTTAAATGAAGATATTCAGAATGTCCGGGAACTAACGTCTACTTATACCTCATTTGTAACCTCAATTCCTGGGCTTTTACTAATTTTAAGGGAGCATTCTCGTTGTTGAACAAAAGCTTTCATACGACAATTATGTGAGCTTACGTTTAAAACAATCAAAAGGGTTGAAGAGTGGGAACTGTTAGCGTCCGTCTGTTTCGGGAGACAGTGGAACTCTGCGCCATGATTCAGACTTCTTTGTTCGAGCTTCAGATCAGAAGTCCAGTTTTTTTCTCCTCTTCTTAGTTGCTTTTGTTCAGTATTTTATTTGACTTTTTTTGGGGAAAAAACGGTGGGACAGGATGGAAAGGTGGAGAACCCCAATTTAACCAGCATTTTTAGGTGTATTTATGCCAGTGCATTTGATTTTAAGGGTACTGAATATCAATAAAACCTTGAAATGTGGGAACAAATGGGAGAAGAGGTTTCACCACTTTGGACCAGGTTGTAAAACGTTTGCATTTAAATTACGTCAGCTACTTGCTGGAACAAAAATCTGAAGTGCCGCTTTGTCGTACTCCTTAGCCGTGGTACACTTATGTTTCTCACTCTCTCTAGCAATGGTGTCGACGGTTGTTTTCAAGTCTCGCTTGTTTTTACTCAGGCTCTCCAACTTGATGTTTTGAAGTTTCCATGGAAACAGTTCACACTTCGTCAGCAGGTGTGATATCCTCACTAGGTCGTTTCGTGACGAAGGTAGCAATGGAAGTCGTAAATATGGC